GTCTGGCCTTTTCCAGCCCAGCTGACCATCGTGGCAGAGGAGTCCTGCCCTCCACATCCAGCCCCATGACACTGACCTTGGGCAAGCTGCCCCCATCACTCTGACCTTCGAAGCTCATCCCTAACCCCCAGGACTCTAAAACCCCCTCATGGGACACACTAGAGGTCAAGACCAGGGGCCTTGAAGTCCAGTAGGTGTTACCTGCCTCACGGCTCTGCCACTTCCGAGCCTCGTGACAGGCCGAGGACCTTTCCTCTCAGAGGCTCTGCTTCCTCAGACATGAAGGGGATGACATTGTCTGTCACGAGCATCCAACGGGATGGCACACGGATGCCGGCCTACCAGGATGGGCCCAGAGCGGGTTCTGCTGACGCAGGAGTCAGGGCCCCACCACCTCTCCAAGGCCAGCGTAGTGGGCTGGCCTCCCGGGGCAGTGTTCAAACAAGCCTCAGATGTCAACTCCCTGGAATGGACGGGGGGGGGGGTTCAGCTCCCCCGTTCCGGGATCCTGTGGGCCAGGCAGGCGCCGTGTCAGGGGTGAGGGGGAACATGAGCTGTGGGCAGAGCTTGGAGACCGTGGTGAGTAGACTCAGGCTGGACCCTGGGATCTCAGCAGACTTGCCCCAAGCCCCCGGGGGCCTCTGCCACCACCAGGACCTCCAGAAACCCCTCTTCTAGGGAGAGTGCTGGGGCCCTGAGTGCAGGGAAGGCAGATCAGTCGAGGGAAGGCTTTGGAGGGACTAATGGCAGCTGGCGCCAGGTGCTAGAGGGACACAGAGGCGGTCGTGCCACAGGCCCTGCCTTCAGGTTGCTGGTCTCAGGGAGGGAGGGGCTCTTGGGGGGTAGGGGGTGGCTGGACATGTGCTGTGTGTTGACTTCTGTGCCTTTATCAGAACTCATCAGAAGGACATTGAGGCCTGTGCTTGCGCTTTTACGTAAAACACACCTCAACGGCTAAAAACAGCCATCGAAGGAGAGACTCGGGGAGGGAAATTTACACACGGGGCCAGCCATGGCACAGAGGCAGCCTGAGAAAACTGGGAGTGACGGGAAGATTCCCGGCCCCGAAGCCGAGGCCGGACACACCCACCTGCGTGTGCATTTTTACCAGAATCTGTGCTGCACAGGCCTCGCTCCAGGGCGCAGGCCGCACAAGCCCTGCCCTCCCTGGCCAGGTTAACTCACTCTGTCCCCTTCCGGTCCTTGTCCCCACCCTCGGGGCCTGGTGGTGAGCTGGGGAAAGCTGACCCCAGTCACAGAGGGAGCATTTGTCCACTTGCAGCTTCATTGCCCTATGGCTCGCTGACTGGTCCCTTCCTCCAGAGGTCCACTGCCTCTGGGGACACTGGGGGCAGTCACAGGACACTGGCAGAGGGGGCTCTGGGGAGCCCTCCAGGGGCTGGGCCGCCCCAGATGGCAGGGCGTGAGCTCCCAGGGGCTTGGCGCGGCGGGCTGGGAGTATGTCTCATCGCTTGGGAAGCTGATGCAAGCATGAACAGCTCCCCTGACGCAGGTGGGGGGAGGGCGGGGGCTGCTGCTAGGGGAGCAGCTCGCTGTCCCAGGGCTGCCTTGCCAGTGCAGGGGATGAAGGAAGACCCCCAGTGAGCCCCCCATGGACCCAGCACGCTTCTCCAGGGCGTCCAGAGCCACAGCCTGGCCCGGCGTCCTGGTGGGGCAGCTCCCCCACCTGGCTGTAGAATGGAAGGCTCCTGGGTGGCAGCTCCCTGAGCAAGGCCAGGCCTGGGGGAGAGGGTTTCCCTCGCCACGGCCCCCAGGAAACAGTGCACACTTCTCACCTGCAACGGGTGAGAACCCCCCACCCCCACTCCCACTTCCTGGGGCCAAAGCCATCCCCTGCCTTCCTGAACCTCATGTAATGGCCGTGATGTACCTGGTGGGTTCTCACCACCTGGTAACGGGACAAGCCCAGCTCCCCCAGCTCCAGGGGGAGGCCAGCACCTCCCCCCAGAGAAGGGATAGTCGGGCCACAGGCAGACCCAGTTCCAGGGGCTGCTGGGAGCTTGGCAGCGCTGGTGATGCTGTCCAGATGACCCAACAGGGACCCCCTCCCTAATCACTGAAAAAAAACAAAAAAATCTCAGGAAAGAAATGGAACACGGCAAGCTCCACTGAGCTGGGGCCTTTCCCTCCCTAGCAAGCGAAAGCGGGGGTGGGGGGCTCACCTGGGCCTGCAGGACCATCAAAGTACAGCCCAGGGCCCTGCTGCCCCCAGGCAGGCTGCCCCTCGCACACTGCCCCCACTCCCAGCATCTGGACTAGGAGTGGCCGCCGCACAGGGACCCTGCTCAAGGCAGGTTGGGGTGGGTGGGCTCCTCCTTAGTGACCCAGCGTGAGCCAAGAGGGTGCCCTCAAGTCCCCCAGCCTGGAGAACAGGCTCCTGAGTGTGGGAACTGTTTGCGTGGTTGGGGAGAGGTGAGGGGGACAGACGGACAGGGCTGGGTTTCGGGGTGAGCGTCCCCATAGGGAGGAGACTCCACAGAGGACGGTCAGGGTGGGCTGTAGGGTTTGGGGTTTGTGGGTGGCTGGAGCTGGCAGATGGCGGCCTAGGGCAGATGCCACCACTCTGCTGTGAGGAGCCCTCCTGGACAGCTGTGTGCGGACAGCTTACCACCAGGCTGTCCCTGCAGCCAAGTCTGGAGAAACACCTGTCCCCTGCGCCCAGCCTGCACCCCACGCCCCAGGCACCTCACCCAGGACACTATGTCCTCAGATGCAGCACAGCTGTCAGCAGCTAAGGCTGCACCCAGAGGTGCCTCCCTCCTGACCAGCCTGCCAGCTCCCCAGCTGAGGTGGGCCAGGCGGAGGGACAGCGCCCTCCTGTACCAGCCATGGGGTCGTCATGCCAGGCAGCTGATGCCAGCTCCAGGTCCGAGCCCCTGGCTAGGCCTGGCCTCAGTTTCCTCTGCCAGCAGCCGCGTTCGCTCTTCCTTGGCCATGGCTGTGCCCTGTCCCTGACGGGACTCTCTGCAGTCCTGTCTAGGCCGTGGGAGTCCAGGCTCTGAGGGGGCTCACTCCGGCTGAGCCCTGGCGCCACTCCTGGACCCTCAGAGAGACCCCAGCTTTGGACCCAGGAGGGAGAGAGAAGGGTGTGCTGTGTGGGCCTGGCCTCTGCTCTACCCTGTCCCCCAGCGTCCAGCAGCGGGGAGAAGGAAGGACTCTGGCATCTGGCCCAGGACCCAGGAGGGCCGGTGCTGCCAAGGAGAGGCCAGATGGCCAAGCAGGCCCAGGCAGCAGCAGGGAGGGGAGATGCACAGCTGGGCCCCGATGGTCTCGCCCACTGTCGCCACTGACCGTCCAGGACGCCCAAATCTGCAAAGGTCCTGCCTCCTGACCTCCACTCTGAAGTCCCTCCCAGTGACACCCAGGACCTGAGTCCCGACCTCCAGGAGACCCCAGGCTGTGGGTCTGGCCAGGCTGAGGACCATGGAGGGTGGCGAGTCAGGCCAGGACAGGGCTCCTGGGTTCAGCACGGAGTTCCCCAGAGAGACCTGAGGCAGGGCACAGAGGGAGGGAGAACCTGCTGGTGCCCACCGCCAGCCCTGCTTCAGCCCGCCGTCCATCCCTCACCCTGTGCCCGCCTGTCCTGGCGGTCCCCAGGTCACACACTTTCCCGGCAGCTTGCGCTGCCACCTGGTGGTCGGGTCTGGGATGGCAGCTGCTTGACTCAGGAGGGAGCTGAGGCCTCACCTGTCCCCTCGCCCCTCGCCCCTCCTGCCCGCCTGCCAACAGGAGTTATGCCTTCCGCTCCTCACAGGGATTGGGGAGAGGCTGCTGCCGGCTCCAGCCCGAAGTGCTGGGTCCCCACTGCCCATGTGGCAGGCATCCCGGGGCGGAAACGCACATCCTGGAGAGATGGACTCGCGTGAAAGGCACGAGGGAAGCCCAGCCCCGGCTCGGCCAGCGAGCACCGCTGAGGAAGGGACGGAGCGGGCACAGAAACGGGACGCACCCAGGGGTCCCGCCAGCCTCTCACGTTCCGGGAACCCCTCTCTTATGGCCCAGTTTTGGCCTCTGTGGGAACAGGACCAAGATGGGAGAGGAGTCCCCAGGAGGACGGGTCCTGTAGGTCCCCCTGGTGGGGGCCGTGAACACAGACGAGGCTCCTGGCCCGTCCGCCTGCCTCAGGGGCCACTCTTGGTCTGTCGGGCTGGGCGGTTGTCTCCCCTTCTCCCCGGGTCATCCTCCGTCCCTCAGGACTTGTGCCCCCCCCCCTTCCTGGGTCTGACCCCTTCCTCGGGTGAAGGGGAGGCAACCAGGGGCCTGGATGGAGCAGACTGTCCCAGCTCCTTAGGGGACCTTAGGCCTTGGAGTCCACATACGGGGAGAGGGCGGGGCTCAGCCTTCCCAGGGCTCCCTCCTCCTTCGGGCCCTGGGGACCCCCAACATTTCCTGGGTGCCTGGGAGTTTCAGGGCTTGCGGACAAGAGGGGACAAGGCCTTCCTGCAGTGGGGGTGTGGCACACAGAGGTCCTCCCGGGAAAGGCAGGTGCCCCTCCCGTCTGTGACCCGGGGCAGTGGGGGCAGTGGAGAAGGTGAGGGGGGGCCCCAGAGCCCTGAGTGAGGGTCAGGTCCCCATGCATTTGACGGTCTCTCAGCCCCTTCCGACAGGGGCCCCCAAGCCTCTCTGGAGCAGGATTTCGCCAGCCCAGGCTCTCTGTGGGGACTGATAGTCACCTGGACCTGTGCTCCCCATATACGTGACACCACGGAGCCACCAGCTCTGCTGCCCACAGGGCTTCTGCCAGACAGCGGCGTGCAGGAGATGGGCCTGGAGGAAGGGCGGCCGCCCCCCCCCAGACCCCCCCGACTGCCCCCAGCTTCCTCCGCTGGAACCCAGGCACGGGCCTGAGCTGCAAGAAGACCCAGTTCCGATGGCAGCCCGGCTTGCCCGCCAAGCCAGAACCCACCCGCTCCCGTAGCCGGAGCCGGGGCTAAAGGCTCTGCTGTGAGACTCTTCCCCCCAACACACCAACCTCCAGCTCATTTGCAAATGATTTGCCTCTATTTGCCTAATGTTTTAATGAAGAAAAGTACAGAAATCACCCCACACGCGTGCCCTCCGTGCCCCGGGCCCCACCCAGGTCCGGGCACCTCCCTTCCGCTCCTCTCTGTGGTCACAGCGGGCCCAGCGCGTCCCCCACAGGGGGCGCGGCCTAGGAGAGGAGAGCTTGGCCTCCGTCCTGCAAGCGGGGCCTCCCGGGTCTCCTCAGGTGGAGAGGAGAGAGGCCACATGGTGGGAGTGGGTCCCTGGCACCCCGTTTGTGGCGTAGCTTGGGGTGGGGAGGCCAAAGGTCGCCCGTTCTTCTTTTCCTTCCCCAAGGACTCCATGGCCTCCTGGTGAAACCTCCCAGAAGCCCCTCACCCCCATCTCCCTGGGGTTCTGGGCACGGCCGGTGTCCTCCATCTGTGGGGCCTGGCTCTCCAGGCCAGTGAGGGTGTCGGGAGTGCGGCGTCAGGCATCTGTCATCATCGTGGCCGTGTGGCCGGGCAGGGCCATCCCAGGGTGAGGCGGAGCTAGGAGCTGGGTTCTGTAAGACACAGGGCCCCAGGGTATGTGGCCGGTCCCACAGGGGCAGCTGCCCACCCCCAGGTCAGTGGTGACGGCCGTGCAGCAAGGGGGCTGGACCTGGGGCTCTGCCACCAGGGCTGTGGGTTCCCATGCACAGCCGCCATGTGCTCTCTGGGCAAAGGCCTTCCCCGGGCCCTTGGGCAACCCTGACCACCCAGACCCCAGGCTCCCACACAAGCTGGGCCTCTGAGAGGCTCCCTGGGTGCCTGGGACAGACGCCGCAGAGAGCGCCCGGGTCCTGGGCCAGGCCCGAAAGGCTGCTTTTCTGAACAAAGCTCAATTCTGAATCATTAAAAATGTTAGGGGTTATTTAGTTGTTTGTGTATTTCGGCTCTTTAACATGTAAGATGTTAAAGTGCTGTTGGGGAAAAATGTTCTCTTATTAACACGTGTTATTTGCTTTACTTAGGACAAGCTCGCCAATGAGAGAATCAGCTTGGCTTTGGGGCACTAAATGTTCGAATCGGGGCATATTTATGAAGGAACGACATGAGAGGCCTCGCTGTTTCCTGTGGAAACGTATTGCAAGGCACCCTGGCAATCGGAGGTGGGTGACGTGGAGCCCCTTATGCCACGGGGTGCCCATCAGTGGTCTTGTCCAAACTTCACTTTCCAGATGGGCAAAGCAGGGCCCCCAGATGGCCAGTGATGGCCAGGTTCAAGGGCAGAGTCCATGGGCAGCTACGCAGAGAGCCCTGACATCCTATCCAGGCCCGATCTCTCTAGAGCTGACAGGCCCCTGAGGGCCCCCCGAAGGCAGCCATGTGGCCAGGGCGGCACCTTTACCTGTGACAATGAGGGTGGCTGTGCTGACAGCCTGGCCCAGCGTGTTCTCAGCCACTGCCTTGTACTGGCCGCTGTCCTTGGGGGAGACGCTGGGGATGACCAGGGAACACACGCCCAGCATGTCGGTGCTGTACACCCCAGAGTTCCCCGCCAGGCTCTGGTCGTCCTTGAACCAGGTGACGTGGGGCTGGGGCCAGCCGCGCACGGCACAGCTCATGCAGCACTCGCAGCCGGGCGGCAGCACGTGGGGCCGCAGGCCCACCAGGAACCAGGGCTTCTGGCTCAGGTTGGGCTCCCGGTAGCTGGGCACCTTCACCGTGAGCTTGTCTGTGGTGAAACCCAGAGAGGAACAAGAGGGTCAGAAGGTGACAGGCTGGCAGGGGCACCGCCGGGCAGAGACACCCGGTGGGACTTGGCGCCTTCCTGCACATTTGGCCCCCCAGGCTTGGCTCACTATTTTATCCTTTTCTATAAATACTTTGGGGCTTTTTTTTTTTTCTATAAGCTAACACACATTCACTGTGGACAAATTAGAACACAAATTAGACCCTGGGTCCAGCTATTCACAGAGACTTTGGGGCCCGGGGCTTGCGGAGCTCACCTCGCAGCCGTGGGATGCACCAGGGCTGGCTGGTGTCCGAGGGCATGCTGGCGCCCAGCTCATTCTTGGCCACCACGCGGAAGTGGTACTCGTGGCCGGGGACGATGCCCAGCAGGGTGAAGCGGTTGGTGTGGACGCGTTCGGCCACCTCGCGCCAGGAGCCGTGGCTGGAGGAACGTGTCAGCACCGTGTAGTGCAGAGGGATGCCCCGGGCCTCGTCCGGAGACGGCTCCCACTCGGCAGTCACCGTCCCAGGCACGTTCTCCTGCAAGCTGATGGGCCCGGGGGCCTGCGGGTAATCTGTGGGAGAGAGGCCCGAGGGAACCGAGTTGGGGGGGACCCAGCAGGGCACCTGACAACACCCCAGGCTCCTGCGTGGCCCTCCCTGAGTCCCCACGTCTCCTGGGGGACAGTCTTGCTGTGCAGGAAGCTGGAGCCAGAGAGAGCTCACGGGGCCACAGTTCTCTCTGGAGGGCGGGGACCTCACTTTGGTTTCTAGTAAAATGACTCAGGATACAGACAGAGTGGGTCTTTCATGTCCACCTTACAGAGCCCTTTGTTAATTGTTCATCCCCTCCGTGTCCCGAGACTCCTCCTGGGTGGGGTGGGCGTGCAGGACACGCTGTGGGGTTAGGGGGGGAGGGCAGGCTTCGTCTCCACAGGGACCACAGACAGCTGTCCCCGCAGTGACCATGTGTGTTCACTGACTCGGAGTGAAGACTAGCAGAGGTCGGCTGAGGGGCTAAACTGCCCCCGAGTTCCTGAGGCAGAAGAGTGAGTCCCCGGTTCCCCCTCGGCCTCTCCTCCTTTCTCCCTTCAGCGCCTACAAGGTTGGGGTGCGGCTACCTGACACCCAGGCCTGGTAGAGCAGCCGAGACCTGGGACCAGGCCAGACAGAAGCCCCACGCCTTGGTAAGTGGCCAAGCGTCCAGAGCCCCAGCCCAGGCCCGCCTCACCTGCCACCCTGAGCTGGAAGGAGTAGGTGGCCTCCTCCCCGTGCAGGCCCCTCAGCACCACAGTGTAGAAACCAGTGTCCGAGAGGCTGGCCGCGGGAACCAGGAGCTGGGTGAGGCCGTCCTTGCTGGAGGTCACGTTTCTCTTAGGCAGGGGCAGGCCGTCCTTCAGCCAGGTCACCTCCGGCATGGGGGCCGCCTGAGGGACGAGGAAGGAAAAGTGAGGCAGGGTGATCTGGGGAGACCACGACACTGACCCCTGAGGGGCGAGGAGAGGCTCTGGGGGGGGGCGGTCCTGGCTGGGACGGGGACGCAGGTGGGAATGGGGGGGCAAAAACGCCAAGTGCCCGCAACGCCACGCCCATGCAGACATCTGGATTTTATTCTGCAGGAAAACATCATCAGAGCTGGGTGCACACGGCAGGGGTGTGGGGACGAGATGGGAGTGAGGCGGCTCATGCAGAGGTGAGTGCTAGCCACCTGACGCTCAGGACTTGGGGGCCCCAGCGGCTGTCCAGGAGGGGCTTATGGTGGCCTGGCACACGCAGTGATGACCCTGACCGGGGCGGGGATGGTCACGCCGCCAGTGCCCCTGTGAGGCCCTCAGCACGGAGCCCTCTGGCACCAGTGTCAAATGGGGGTGTGAACAGTGACTTACCCACAGGGATGTTCTGAGGACCCAAAAGTTAATACTACAAGGAAAGCACAGCTATGGGGACCAGATCACAGCAGACGCTTGGCATGTGTCACGCATTTCTGCCACTGTTGTCACTGTCACTGTTACGGTCTCATATAGCTCAGAACGTGTAATTTGGACTTAGGCCTGGGTTTGGGTGTCGCTCTGCCACCTGTGCGCTTCCCACACAGGTGGCGATGGTGACAGTGACGGTTTCCATGACAACGGGCAGTGCGTGCTGGGTGCTGGCCACGTGCTGGCACTGTTTATGGGCTTTCAATGTATTGTTTCCTCGAAATCTCAGAACAATCCTTTGAGATAAGTTGCTATCACCGCCCCCATCTGACAGGTGAGGAAGTTGGAACACAGAGGGGTTAAGAGATTTGTCCAAAGTTAAACAGCTTGCCAGCGATGAGGCGGAACAGTGAACCTGGTCTGTGCTTCCGACCGCTACCCTGTACTACGATACTAGGAGACAGGCGGTGTTTGCTGAGGGCCATCCTGAGTCATGTGCCGGTCACGTGCTTGCACAAAATACATTCTGACGTCAAAGGGGGTGGTCCATGCTGTAAACCCCCCAAATTCCCAGACTCCAGAGAAAGTGGGTGCCCTGGTTTGGAAGTACAGTCCCAGGAGCTACCACCAGAGGGCGCTGCAGACCAGAGCAGACCGGCTGCCCGGTGGCCAGGTGAGGGCGGGACCTTCCAGGAGGACCCCCCTCCTTCCTTCCTTCCTCACGCTGGCCTGATGTCCAGCATCAGCCCGGGCCCCTGACTGGGGGCCAGCAGGGAGCAGAGACAGACGAGAACCACAGGGCTGAGCCTGGCTCCCGTGGCAGCTCTGGGTCCCCTCCCCACCCCCATTCGATACACTCACTTCAAAGGAGAGAGGCACGCGGATGGTGTCCCCGACTCTGACCATCAGCGAGTCCTTGAAGGCGTCCGTGAGGAACTTGGGACTCACTGGAACACACAAGACGGCTTGTCACCTCCCTTTGCAGTTGGGCCCCAGCCCCTGGTCACCAACCAGGTGGGCTGGAGGGGGAAGGCGGGGCCGGCCGCCCTGATGCGGAGCCTGCACTGGACAGGCGGCTCTGCAGGAACCCAGGGGGAGTTGGGAGGGGGGGCTCGGGGGAGCACAGGAGCCGGTGGGGAGGTGCTAGTGGGAGAGGGACGGGGGCTGAGAAAGGAAAGCCGTCGGACAGGGTTCGACCTGCGCAGAAAGGACGCTGGAAAAGTCACCCAACGCTTCCTTGTGCAGGTGAGGCGGCCCCTGATCTGAGGCAGGGAGTGACCCGCCTGAGACCACAGGGATGGGGCAGAGCCAGGCCGAGGCCCAGGGATTCCGGACTCGGGTGCTTTTCACTGTTGCCCAGTGTCAGCTTGGGTTGAAGATGGGTCCGCTGTGTCCACATGAGAGCCCAAGGAGCAGGACACCCCACCGTCCATAACAGGAGGCCGGGCATCCTCCTGTCTGAGCGTGAAGCTCACGTGGGGTTCCTGGTTTAATCCTGACCGGCCACGACCAGTGGTGTCACCCAGGGCAAGGTCCCTTTGACCTGTCTCCTTGTCTGTACGCTGGGGGTACAGACATTTAATCTTGCAGGATTTTTATGAGTTGCAACGAGAAAATATGGGTGCTCAATAAGTGTCGCTTGATTAAACTGGGGGCTCAGCGAGATCAGGGGTGCTGCCCAGAGGCCCCTCTCAGGACGGGGAGCGCAGGGAGGCGGCACTCACCGGAAGCGGGCATGGCTTGTACTAACATGTCCAGCGCGGTGGACTGGCCGCGGCCCCCGTTGTTAACCGCTGTCACCCGCACGAAGTAGCTCTCTCGGTGCCGAAGCCCCTTGGCTGTGTAGGTGGTGGCGGGCACGGTGCCCAGGTGGCACGGGGTCCACTGGAGGCTGTCTGAGCTGCACAGCTCCACCACGTATCCCTGTGCTTCGTCGCCATCCTCGGTGTCCGGCGGGGCCCAGCGCACGGTGATGCTGGTATTCGACGTGTCTATGACTTGGAGGTCCCTCACGGGCCCGGGCGGTCCTGGCCGGGCACCACGGCAATGTCAGGAATGGCCCTGCCCTCTCCTGAGGGAGGCCCCTCACTGTGGCTAATGTGTGTTCCTGTGGGAGGCTGGGATCCTGCCTCCAGACCTCCCTGATCACCTCCCTGGAACCAAACCCTTACTCCATCCCACACTCGGCCTCAGCCGTGCACACAGAGCAGCGTTTCCAGGCTGCGTGCCTCGGAGTGAGGTCTTTGTTAGGTGTTTTGTGGCAAAGGTATGCTCTGCTCAGATTTGGGAATTCTGGATCAAACGAAGCAGGACGGGTGACTTTCCTGTGGGACTTGGGGATGTCACAGGCTGCACGTCAAACACCTTTGACCGCAGACCTTGCTGTCGCGGCCACTGTCACAATGTCTGTCGTCATCTCAGTACCCTGCTCTTCCTGAGACCAGGAAGCAGGGAAATGCTGTGCTAGGAAGTACCCACCTAGTCCTGGCACAATGCTGGTCGCCCAGCACGTGATGAGCAAACACTTGGTAGATGGGGAATTGGTGGTGGGGTTCCACTGTGAGCCCCCCCACCGCCCTGCCCCGCTGGGACAATACTCCCTCGCTCGGTGACTAGATGGTTACAGGACAGGACAGGTGGGCCAGCCTGGGGACTGACCTGCCCAGACGCTCACAAGGGAAATGACCTGGGGAGGGAACTCTTCTAATCCGCTTTGCCTGGTCCTTGAGTTTGTTTGAGCTCAGTTTGGGGACTTGGCCTCCCCCTAAGATATGCAAAGAGGACTTTGACCTGCAACTTGCAGTCCTCCTGGCTATTCCCTTCAGGACTGGCCCTGACCTGTGGCCTCCTGTCCTGCCCCGCTGGCTTCAGAGCCACCCCCTTCTTGCCACCACCACCCTCATTCTGGGTTGGCGTCCACTTACTCATGGGGTCCCGAGCAAACACGGCATCCGACGGGGGTCCAGGCTCCCCAGGGCCGGCGGGGGCCACGGCCGTGACCCGGAACTCGTACTGGCAGTCGTGCCGCAAGTCCCCCACTGTCCACTTCCGCTCTGCGGGAAGCCCACCCACATTAGCCCCACCGGGACAGGACCAGGAGATGGGGACGCAGAGGCTCGGTGCCCACGCATTCTGGCGGAGACCCAGCCTGGGGCCCTAACACAGCCCCCCGCCCCCCACCAGCCAGCAGGTGTGACTCAGCTCCCTTCAAGGCAGAGACAGCCCAGGAAGTCAGGGCCCCAAACCCCTGTCTGGTTCTGCCACCAACTTGCTGGGTGGTCGTGGACAAGTGCCCTAACCTCTCCTCTTATGGACGAGGATGCTAAGAACTACAGAAAAGTGAGCTGCGCGAGGCCAGGGCCGGACGGAGGGGCAGGGCTAACAGCTCCACGCCGGCCTCCATCCCGACACCCACTGGGCAGGCTTCCTGCCTGGGCACTGTGGGCATTTTAGACGGACGATTCTTTGTTGGGGACGTGGGGGCGGGAGGGTGCTGGCCTGTGTCACGTGGTGTCCAGCCGCATCCGGCCTCTTCGCACTGGAGGTCACTCCCCGTCTCCCCCCACTAAAGTTACGACAGCCCGATTGCCAGGCGTTGCCCCGTGTCCCCAGGGGCACAACCGCCCAGGTGAGACCCACTGCGCCAGGCCCACCTGGCGTGATGGTGACACAGGACCCTGGAGCCGGGGGGCCAGGGCAGCGTGGGACAGCCGGTCAGGCACTCACCAGACACAGGCTGGTCGGTCACTGCTGTCCAGGTATTGCTGCCTTTCTTGCATTTCTCTATCACGTAGCCCAGGATGTGGACACGGCCGCGGCCCCGAGGGGCCGTCCACGTCAGAGTGATGCCCCGGCTGGAGGCCGACAGGATGGTTGGGGCGGAAGGGGGCCCAGGGAGTGCTGGGGGCAGACAAAGTGCTGGTCAGCCAGAGGCCAAGGGGAGGTGCCAGCTCAGGGAGGTCCCGGGGGCGTCGGGCACGCCACTCTGTCCCTTCTGGGGAGTCTTGGGGACACTGTTCCAGCTGCTCAGGGAATGACGGGAACAGAGAAGCACTGTGGTCTAGGAGCCCAGCCAGCTCTGAGGCCCCTGACGGGTGGTAGGCACCTGGTGGAGGACAGTGCCAGCCCGCCAGGGTCCCGAGAGTGGGCTCTGCGTGTCCGTCCACCATGCCTGAACAGCCACACTTGGGAGAAGACCCCGTAAATCTTGCTCCCACATCCCAAGTGACACTGTGGGAGGCATCGCCATGGTGCCCTCGAAGGGCCTAAGACCCTGGTGTCCCTCTGCCTTGGGGCACAGTGGCGACCCCAGGACATCCCCCACCCCACCCCAAACTGTCCTCTCACCCTCAGGAGCCACCAGCACCTCCGCAGACTCCAGGGCCTCCCCGGCCCCCTCCGAGGTCACGGCCCTCACGCGGAAGGCATACTTCCTGCCCTGCTCCACCTGGGCGTCGGTGAAGGTGGTGCTGTCCGCGGGGGCCTCGCCCACCTTCAGCCACGTGCTCCGACTGGCCTGCCTCCTCTCCACCACGTAGCGCTCCACAGGCCGGCCCCCGTCGTCCCGAGGGGGCCGCCAGCTGAGGCAGACACCAGCCCCATGGCGGTCCTGCACCTCCAGGGGGCCCTGTGGGGGCTGGGGCTTGTCTGGGGGCCACCGAGAAGAGCAGGGAGAGAAGGGGGATCAGAGCAGCTGCAGGGGTGCGGTGCTGGACCCCCCCCCCATCAGCGGATAAGCCTGCAGTGGTTGGAATGCCCAGAGAGACTCGGGCAGGACTCAGAGGTGTCCCTGGTCCCCACCCCCATGCGCACACACCCAGGGGGGTGACTGGAGAGCACTGGCCTGGAGCCCAGTCCCCCACTCGGTGGCTGGTGTGGGCACCCGCTCAGCAATCCGGCCTCCCCTCGCTGGCCCCATTCCAGGCTGGGGCCACCTTCCCACCCAGCAGCTATGCCAGGGCTCCGAGGACCAGTACGGCCAGGCCCCGCTCCCAGCCCTTTACTTTCGGAACTGCCCCTCCCCACCCAGTCTGCGGGGAGGACAGGTGGGAGTAGGTGTGGGTGCTCGGGCCTTGGCTGGGGAGGCTCAGACCTATGACTTGCACGGTGAGCTCGGCCTGCACAGAGCCGCCCTCGCTTTTCAGCGTCACGCTGTACTGGCCGCCGTCCTTCCTTCTGGTGCTGGGGAGGCACAGCCGAGTGACGCCATCGCTCAGGGCCACCTGGGCGCCCCCGCGGCTGCCGCCCTCCACCTGGGCCCCGTCCTTCCTCCAAGTGGCCTGAACGGGTCGGTGACTCTGGAAGGGGACCTTCACTGTCAGCGGCTTCCCAGCCTTGACCACCAGAGGCTCCCTCAGTCTGTCTGTCACATTTGGAGCGATGACGGGGGGATCTAGACATGGGACAGCACAAGGGAGTCAAAGAGGCCAGGGCACCGGGCATCTGGGGGTGCGGAAAGAAGGACCCAGGGAAGGAAGTGTGGGCTAAGAGTCAGGACCCCCATCCCCCACCTCCTGAGGGCTAGCAGGGGCGGGGGGAGGTGGGGACAGTGGCCTCATTTGCAGCAGGAGGGACCAGGGACCAGGGACCTGACCAAGGACTTTCTGACAGGAATTTTAAAACCGTCTTCTCAGACAGGATGAGGTCAGACCCTGGCTGCAGACCAGCCACACGTTTTGGTGTTTGCACGTCACCCGGCAGGGAAGGGCGGGATGGGCCTCACCTTGGACGGTCAGGGTGGCCTCTGTCTTCTGGTTGCCAACGGCAAAGCTGTACTTCCCGGCCTGGGTCCACTGCACGTTCTCAATGATGAGCCTGTGCACCAGGCCATCCTGCTCGAAGACGAGCCCGTCCTGGGCGCTGAGCTAGAGGCAGGGTCAGAATGGAGCCGGTCAGCCCAGCCCGGCTCCTCCAGGCCCAGCTCAGCGTGGCCTCTCACTGACGCAGTTGCAGGGATCATGGTAACGGGCATGAGTGGAACGCTCAGCGCGTGCCGGGCGTGTGCTGACGCTGTCTGCTCTGTCCCTCCCTGAGTGGCCACTACAGCCTACGGCAGCGTGTGCCGTTATTAGCCCAGCCTATAGGTAGAGCCAGGGGTCACGTCAGTGCACGGGAAGCCAGGTCTCGTGGGCGCCAGGCCCCAGCTCTGAAGCGCTGTGACGTGCTTCCCCGAGACGACAGCCAGACGGAGGACAGCCGGCCGGCCCAGGGCCAAGAGATCCCGCCTGCTTGGGCTGAGAAGATGGCCTTTGTACCAGGCCTTAAAGGGCCTGAGAATTCAACAGGTGTTGGGCTGAGAAGCACTTGGGGCAGCGGCCGGAGAGTGAGAGGTGTGGGGTCCGGGCGCGCAGGACGCACATTGGTTCAAAATCCAGAGTATTGTAAACACACCAAGTTCTCGGCTATTTCAATTCCCAGGGTAGATGCGTGAGGAAACGAAGAATGAAAGCCTTCCCCTCCCCTCCCCTCCCTTCTCCTCTCCTCTCCTCTCTTCCTCTGCCCCAAACCCATTCGTAAAGGGAGGGGGCGGTACCTTGTCTCCATCTTTAAACCAGGAACCGGGTCCCAGGTCCCGGCTGAGGGTGCAGGACAGCACGGCAGCCTCTCCCAGCTGCACTTCCGTGTCAGCCAGGCCCTGGGAGAAGTGGCCCACAGGGGCTGAAGAGACACAGAGAGAGGCTGGGGACGGTCACTCAGGGGACCCCCCCAAGGCCCAGCCCCCAGGCCATGGCCTGCCCTGCACCCTGGATGGCAACCACAACCACTTCCTGCCAGCACAGCAAAGACCCTGTTCTCCCCCGCAGGGCCTAGGCTAGTGCAGGAGACGTGGGGTACAGGTGGACGGAGGGCACCTGAGTCAGAGATGGGAAGCAGGGTGACCCACGTTTCTGTGCTTTGCACATAGGGTGTCAAGACAGATGCCCAGGAGACCCCTGAGCCTCGCAGCCTGGATCCCACCTGCAAAGGAGGAAGAGGCTGCTTCTGGGGCTGGGAGGAGGCCCCCCAAAGTGGGAAGCCGTGGCAGGGATAAACGCCTGCCGCTGTAAGCAAAACTGGGAACGACCCAGGCACCCCCATGTGCAGGGCCCCCGGCAGAGCCAGCCAGCTCAGAAAACCTACCTCGGGCCTCCTCGGAGAAACCCCCAGCGTCAGGCTTGCGTCTGGACCTGGGACTCTGGGTGGCGTTGCTCTCCTGGCCACAGATGTCCGGCCTGCCGTCTGTGCCCGCTCTCCTGCCGCCAAGATGCCCCGGGGGCTTGCGGCTCCGGCCTTCGTGGAGACTCTCCCCAGGGTGGCCTGTGTCCTCTTCTGCAGGCAGCTGCCTCCTGCCTCTGGCCTCATCTGCTACCCCCCTCTCGGTGGCTCCAGCCTCGGCTTCTGACTGTGTCTGGGACCTGCGTCTGAGGAGGCCGTGCCTCCCGCCTGACCGGCCAGGCTCTCCTGCTGCCTGTCCCTCGTGCTCCTTCAGGGCCCCTGGACCGTGGGCCCTATCATTCGGGAACCCCTCGTCCTCCAGTGTGTCTTTCTCTCCCCTCTGCCTCCTGCTCAGCGGAGAGCCCGGGCCCCGGACGTCCCCGGATCTGTCTGCAGACTCTCTTCTGCCCGAGGGACCTTCTCGGCCGCTCCCAGCTCCACTCGAGTCCCCGAGGCCAGCAGACCTGCCCCTTCTAGGACCTGAACCCGTGCTGTCCAGGGCCCCTGGGCCTTGCCTCCCGCCAGCCTCTTCTCGGCCCGCAGCCCCCTCCTGGCCCCTGCGGCCCTCTGGCCCTTCCTGGGTTGCACTGGAAGTGGCATCCCCTCCTTTCAGAGAGCTGGACGCCCTGGAGCCCGGGAGCTGCCCCCCAGTTCCTGTGCTGCCTCGGCCGAGCCCCTGGTCTTCCCAGCCTGGGCCCCGAGCGCGGCTTATCTCTCGCCCGTCGGCAGACTCGGACGCAGAGCTGCCCCTTTCCTGGGGTGTCTGGCTACTGCCCAGAGCCTGGCCTGTGCCTGCCGGGCTCCCTGGTGCCGCTGCCAACCCCTTGCCTCCCGGCAGTAAGTCTTCTGCCCTCCGAGACGCCAGTCCTGCCTGGCCAGCAGCTCCACCCCTGTCTGCTGTCCCTGGGCTTGCTTTCCACGAGTCCCCGTCATGTCTAGATTCCAGAGCAGCTGTCTCTGCCCAGGTGTCACCCTCCACTGCCCCCCTACCATTGAGAGAGCCAGAAACCTGCACACCCCCTTGGTCTGCAGACCCACCCTCCCTACCGGGAGCCCCAGGGGACCGTGAGGTCCCAGAGCCATCTTGCCACTGTCTGGCACCTGCTTTTCCCCTTGACCCAACAGCCCCCAACTCCCCAGGGGTCCCTGAGGTTGCAGAGCCCCCACGGCCTTTCTCAGAGCCCTGCCCGTCTGCAGCACCCACAATGGCAGCTGTTCCTGCGCCCCCCCCAGGACCGGCCCCATCCACCAGCCCCATCCCTCTGCTCCTCTCTGGACCGCCCTGGGGGCCTGTGCCTCCGTGAGACGCCTCTGATGCCGCCCCGTGTCCTGACCCGTGCCCCATGGCGTCTTGGCCCCTGGGTCTCCCCTCGTGTCCCGTTCCAGCCAGTGAGCCTGCTCCTCCAGCCCCTCCGGAACCATCTCTGTAGCCCTTGTCCCCCTCCGGCCTCGCTTCCCCAGACCTTCCCGAGCCTCCCCTATGGCCTGCCTCGGCCCCTGACGTGGCTCCCCCAGACCCCCTTAAACCATCCTTATCACCTGCTTTGCCCCCTGATCCCATCCCCTCAGGTGCCCCCAAATCCTTCCAATGACCTGCCTCATCGGCTGACCGCATTTCCCCGGCACCCCCAATCCCGTCCCTGTAACCTGCCTCAGCCCCTGACCCCATTCCTCCCAGAGCCCCTGCACCATGTCCGAAGCCCAGCTCGGCCCCTGGCCCTGTCCCCCCACGTCCAAGGCTCCTTGACCCTCCTCCGTAAGCTGTCATGCCTCCAATGTGCTGAGGCCCCAGAGTTCCGGATCCATCCCCAGAACCCAGCCCATGGCCAGACCCGTGAGACTGCTGGCTCTCAGAGCTGAGCCCTGCGTGCAGGGCCTGTGCCTCGGGGCGCCTGGTATCGTCCCCTCCAGCTCCAGCTCCAGGGGCCCCAGCACCAAGGCCCCTGGCTCCATCCCCACCACTCGCTTTGCCCGCTGTCCTCAGAGACCCTGGTTCCACGGCTCCTGGACCCCCTTCTCCAAAGGCCCCCTTTGCTCCGGAGGCGTCTCCAGTCGAACCCTGAGGCCTTACTCTTCCAGAGCCCCCCGGTTCTGCCCCTACATGTCCCTCCCCAACAGTCCCCACTGTCCCCTGACTCCCTAAGCCACCATCGGAGCTATACTTTCCCCCAGGGCCAGCATCGCCCCTGCCTCTGGATGTGTCCCCAGCCGCTGGCTGTGTTCTGGTTTCACCCATGGGCCCTCCACCCGGGCCTCCTGGCCCGTTCTTGAGACCAGCGAGTCCGCCAGGCCCCCGTCCTGCAGGACCGTGACCGCCTTGGTTTCCAGGTACCTGTGAGCCCTGCCTGGAGGCTTCCCCAGACTCTGCTCCTCCAGGTGCCCCTGAGGCGACACTAGAGCCAGCACCACGCGCGGACCCCATTTCTCCTGGCGCCCCTGAGCCATCACCAGAACCGGCCCCATTTGCAGGACCGATCCCCCTAAAAAGCCCTGAGCCATCGGCACAGCTGGACCCCACTCCCCCCAGGTCCCCTGAGCCAGGCTTAGAGCCCGTTTTACCTCCGGGCCCCCCTCTACTACCCCACGTCCCGTTCCAGAAGTCTGGGTCAGACCCCATGGCTCCTGGACCGCGGGATACATCCGTGCCTCCCGGCGTCCCCCCTGAGCTCTGAGCGCCCTGGCCTGGGGAGCCAAGTAGCCTGTGGCTTCTGGCATCCACCTCCTGGCCAGACCCCAGCAGCCCAGCCCCCTGGGCACCACTCACACCCCCTTTCCCTCCACCAGACCCCAGCAGCCCAGCCCCCTGGGCACCACTCACACCCCCTTTCCCTCCATCGGACCCCCACAGCCCAACCCCCTGGGCACCACTCACACCCCCTTCTCCTCCACCAGACCCCAGCAGCCCAGCCCCCTGGGCACCACCCACACCCCCTTTCCCTCCATCGGACCCCCACAGCCCAGGCCCCTGGGCACCACCTACACCCCCTTTCCCTCTACCAGACCCCAGCAGCCCAGCCCCCTGGGCACCACTCACACCCCCTTCCCCTCCACCAGACCCCAGCAGCCCAGCCCCCTGGGCACCACCCACACCCCATTCCCCTCCACCAGACCCCAGCAGC